CCAGACTTCAGCAAAGCTTTTGACATCATCTCCCATAGTATATTCCTGGAAAAGCTGGCAGCCCACAGCTTGGACAGGTGCACTCTGTTGGGTTAAGAACTGGCTGGATGGCTGGGCCCAGAGAGTGGCGGTGAATGGTGCTGAATCCAGTTGGTGGCCAGACAGGAGTGGTGTCCCCTAGGGATCAGTGTTGGGCCCAGTCCTGTTTAATATCTTTATTGATGATCTGGATGAGGGGATCGAGTCTACCAAATTTGCAGATTACACCAATTTGTGGGAGGAGTATCGATCTGCTGGAGGGTAGGAGGGCTCTGCAGAGGGACCTGGACAGGCTGGATAGATGGGCTGAATCCAATGGTATGACCAAGTACTGGGTCCTGCACGTTGGCCACAACAACCCCATGGAGCACTAAAGGTTGTGGACAGAGTGGCTGGAGAGTAGCCAGACAGAAAGGGACCTGAGGGGATACTGATTGACAGAATAAGCCAGCAGTGTGCCCAGGTGGCTAAGAAGGCCAATGGCATCCTGACCTGTATCAGGAATAGTGTGGCCAGCAGGACCAGAGAAATAATTTTTCCCCTGTACTTGGCACTGGTTAGGCCACACCTTGAGTACTGTGTCCAGTTCTGGGCTCCTCAGTTTAGGAAGGATGTTGAGGTGCTGGAGGTTGTCCAAAGAAGGGTAATGAGGCTGGTGAAGGGTCTGGAACACAAATCCTATGAGGAGTGGCTAAGGGATCTGGGATTGTTTAGCCTGGAGAAGGGGAGGCTCAGGGGAGACCTTATCACTTTTTGCAACTACCTGAAAGGAGGTTGTAGCCAGGTGGGGGTCAGACTCTTCTCCCAGGCAACTAGCAATAGGACAAGAGGCCACAGTCTTAAGCTGCCCCGGGGGAAGTTTAGGTTGGACATTAGGAAGAAAGTCTTCACAGAAAGAGTGATTGAGCATTGGAATGGGCTCCCCACGGAGGTGGTGGAGTCACTGTCCCTGGAGGTGTTTTAGAAAAGACTGGATGTGGCACTTAGTGCCATGGTCTAGTAGACAAGGTGGTGTTAGATCATAGGTTGGACTTGATGATCTCAGAGGTCTTTTCCAACCTAATTAATTCTGTAACTTAACTTTAGTAACTAGATGTGCTGAAGCCTCAGGTTGCAATATGTGAACTTTCACCTAGATACGCTGAACTTTTACCTACTCAAGTAAAAGGAGGCCCCAAAGCCAGTTTCAGCTGGAAGATAAGGAAGACCACTACCCCCATCAGCATAAGATGTAACCTTAGAGATAAGAGAAGAAATGGGCCCACCTAGAGACAATGAAGAGACCCAATGAAGAACAAGACCACCCCATACCACAATATTACTATTGGACCGAACTTTTGCACGAGGGGTGGAGAGCTTAGATTGTAACGGTATAATTGCCTAGGGATTTCTTTGTGCAAGGCCCCTCTCCTGAGGCACCCAGCTCAAGCTCTATCTCACCACTGTATGAATAAACTAATTTGTAAGATTCAGCCTAAGACTCTGCTTGGGGAAACCTAGGGTCAAGCCAAAAGGGAAAATATCTGCATGAGTGTGTGTGTCTGGAGTCAATACGAGGTACCCATTGGTTCAGTGGAGCCACTAACCATGAAGGGACTCCAAAGTCCTAGTGGTTAAAGTCTCAGGTGGTATGAATGTAACTCCTTGATTGAGTGTGTGACAAGTCCAGTTTCGCTAACAGATACAACTGGGACAGCTGACCTGAACTGGCCAAAGAGATATTCCATTACATATAATGTCATGCTCAGCAATAAAAGTCAAGGGAAGGGATGTGGTTTTTGGTGGGGGAGCGGGGGGGGGGAGGGGATAGCTGTTGTTCAGAGACTGGCTGAACATCAGTCTGCTTCTGGGAGGTGATGAATAATTACCTTTGCAGCACTTGTTCTGGTTTTCTTCATCTTTCTCAACCCCTGAGTTCTCTTGCTTTTGCTCTTGCTATTTTCTCCTTGTCTTGCCTTTTTTTTTTCTTTTTTTCAGGGGGGTGGGAGTGGGGTGGCATTTGAGCAAGTACTTGTGTGGTGCCTAAGCTGCTGGTGAGGGGTAAACTACAAGATTAATTTTCACACACTATTTTAGGAAATATGTAGTGGTGTCAATTTTTAAATATACATACCTAAATGCAACTTTGAGGTTTACCTACAGTCAGTTTTATAAATGCATTTTATACACAGTAAATAAATAGCCAACCATATCTGTTATCCAAATTTCATTTTTACAGTGTTCTATTACTTGAACCCAAAGTTACACAGTTTCTATAGAGAGTCTATTGGCAGCCTGATTATTTTAAAAACTTATTTTTCAGGTTTAAGAATAAGATTCATGGTAGCCTTACATTACACCCAAGACCAACCAATATATATTTTATAAAATGGTTTAATGTATGCATGCATGTCTGATACAATGGTAATAAATTTACCGAATTCTAATTATTCACTTTTGTAAGTATTTTACAAAAGCATTGTGATTTCCATGGATGGATACACAGTCCTTGATGGAAGAATAATTTAGACTGAATCAGGGCACATGAAAGAATAAAACTGACAAGATCCCTTCTGCATATTCTTCTGATGTGATTCCAGCAAGAGAAACAGCATGGTATAAAAAGTATATAGGAAAGATTGTTCTTACCATAACCATCAAACTCTGAAAATTGCAAATACGTGTTCAAATGGTTGAAAAAGTCATAATACTTGTAAACAGTCAGAAATTACAATAATGTTATCCAGTTACATGTAGCTGTCAAAACAATGCATATCTTTCCTTGTCAGTTGGTAATTCTTTTCCAACAAGACAGAAAACCTTTGGCAATTCCAGGCGTTGAAAATAATTTTCAAAGTTCAAGACAGTCACAGCATTTTCTTTGCAGAAGGTAAACTATACACCAAGGCTCAGAGGCTGTAAAAATTGGTTCCAAGTGGAAAAAAGTGCAAATATCCTGCACACATAGTTTAAAGAGCTGCTGGTTCAATCATTCACCAACAGAATCTTTGTTTTCTTTTTTGCATAGTTCACACATCGCTGGGAATGTGACAGGGTGTGCTATTTTTGGCAAGAGCAAAAGAAGTGATACTTTTGTTCACTTGCCATGTTAGACGTTGGATCCATGCAGAATTCAGGTAGAGGGCTGCTACCTGATGTTATTAGACAGTGAATACTGATGTTGTTTTTGTTGAAGGAGTTCTGTAATAGCCAACAGCTTCTTAAGAACATGCTGTAGAAAAAAAAAACACACAACAACCCCCCCCCCCGTAATACCCTACATTAACAACTAGAAAAAAACCAAAACCCATCTTGCTTGAGAGAAGCATCCTCAACATTAACCTACCAAACTTATAATTAGGTAGTTTACAGTATATTTAAACCCACACCCCCCCACACCCTCCCCCCAGCTCCAGTTTCATAGTCACTAAGACATTACTTCAAAAGGCAACTGTAAAACAGCAATATGCAATTTATCTGCAACCATGGAGACCTATTAAGTCTTGCCAACTTAACCTGAGAGTTTCAAAATGAAACAGTTCTCCTATTTGTTAAAATCCATCTGTAAACCAAAAATCCATTCTGAGGTATTTTCCCCATGTGAAAGTGCAGAACTGGGCCAAGAACATGGAAAAAAACTCCAGTGGAAAAAATAAAGGTGATAATATAATTCATTTCTGCACAAGCAGAACCACCCCCTTTAACTTTCTGAAAACCTGGTCATTAAATTTAACCAAATGCAACTGAACATACACACAAAACAGGCTGAGAAACTGTATTGCTAACACACTGTCAGGAGTTCAATAATTTTTTAATTATAGTAGAACTGTGTTCAACTACAACAGGTTGATCCTGAACATTAGGGCACTTATAGGAGAAAAAAGGAAAATAGATACAAGAGTTTTATTTATGGAAACCCATGAGGAAAAATTACTCCTCTGAAGTAGAAATATAGGTGTATTGAGGAAACAGTATTGCATCTGTGACCATTAAATACTTCAGATGTAGGCCTTGTGAAAGAAATTCAATCCCTTATCTATAAGCAATACGTATTTAGTACTGAAAATTTCTACTTTCCTGACTTGCCAGTCTAGCCATCATTTTTGCTTTGCCAAGACAGGCAGTAGCTGTGAATTATAAACTTGAACATGGTTGATTTTTTCCCCTCATATGCCACTGAAGAAGCAAATTGTAGTAGTTATTAAACTAGATTAGTTTTTTAACTGCTACAATGAAGCATTATTTCATTTTTAATTCCTTAAGCTTTCCTCTGTCAAAGCTAATTAAAAACAAATATATTTTCACCATTTGCAAAATTACCATAAGAGTTCCCAGTAATCCCCTTATTTAAAAAACATTACTGACAAAAAAACATCGGCTGAGATGAAATATAGATTTATCATCTACATATTCTAGTAACCGTGGTGGTAGTGGATCAAGGGTTGAACTTGATGATCTCAGAGGTCCTTTCCAGCCCATCTGATTATATGATTCTATGATTCTATACTTGGGTTTAAGTTAAGGCCTTCAAAGAGTCAGGATATAGAAAGCTCAGCCTTTAAACCATGAGAATAATAAGAAATCTGATTACAAGAAGTTATTTTGAAGCAATTAAACTTAAAACTATTTTTAAAACTACCTCTTCAAAAATGATTCATTAAAGAAATAGTTTAAGGTGATACTGATTAAATTTAAGGAAGACCATCTCTAAAAGAAAAAGACTTTCTGTAGTACAACCGCCCCTGTCCCCAACCAAAAAACCCCCCAAACCCACTGCTTTAAAACATCTTTGGATTTGTTGCATAAATACTTATTTCAGTTTTGAGCTTCTTTACCTTTAAAACTATTAACCTCCTGGTGAAATGTACATATTTATCACTCATACTGCTGGAGAGAAAAAATTACAAAGGAATCATGATGTTAAACAATAAGTCTAGACATGCTATCTGTATGTGTGATTTTTGTTAATCATTATAGTTTACCTGCATTACACCTCTCTCATTGCTGAGTATGCGAAGTTCATCTGAATGTGCCACACACATCTCATGCAAGGCTGCCAGATAACGAGACAAGTCAGTTCTAGAGTTCTCTGTAGTGTCTGGAAGCTCAGGAACATTCTTTAACAAAAATTATGAGAACAGACTTAGTGAGTAGCCAGGAATATAAGAAATTAAATTACAGTTCTATAGACCTGCCAACAGTTGCTTTGATACTGCAAGTAAGTACTGCAATGTTTTTCTTCACAATTAAGTCTTCTGTCCATGTTAACTAATAGAAATTATTTATTTCCTCCTGTCCACAATAATCTATTTTATGAAGACATTTTAATTATGGTTACACAATTCACATAGAGAGATTACTAAATATACAGTAATTTCTATTCCTACTAGGAGGATTTAATACTGCTATGCTACCTCTGAGCTGTCCAGAAAGATACTGAGAAAAGAGATTCATATCATATCTTCCCCTCAAATGAGGGGAATCCATCCATTATATGTTTGTTGTTTTATTTGGGTTTTAAATTATTTAAATCAGACAATAGCAGCAGCAAAAATGGACACCAAAAAAAATCCCCAAACTATCAAGTCAGTAAATCCACTAATAAAATAATGTAACTAAACCAGTAGATTAATCAGTTATTTTAAAACCCAACCATATTCCAAGTCTTTATGCATAATCTGCCATTTAAAGAAAAAAACAGTGTATCGTAATATGCAGAAGTTGCCATTTAACCAGAAAAAGGTGACATGGCAAGCCACCTGAATGACACACTTCAAAACAGTAATTCTTATAGATTATCAAAATAGTCTGAGATGTTTTCTAGGTCATTTTTAATGGATTAATTTAGGAAGATAGGCATATTTCTTTTCTCTTCATTTTTAAAACAAAATTGGTTTAAACATATACATAAATAGATATACATGAACTCCTAACTCATTATAGCTATCACACACAAAACAGTAATGGTTTCAAATTGAACTGCAACTATTATTTTCTTTTAAACTACAATATATAGAATTCATACAGTGAGACATTTGGTAATGTATAACTAAAATAGAAGACAACATTTTTTAAAACTTCAATTTTTTCAATCTCAGGTCATAACAATATGACAAATTACATATAAGAATTTTTTGTTTTAAAATATTTTTTAGAAGATTGGTATTTTTGACTGAAAGCCTTAATCCTTGGGGAGAAACTCAAATAGATCTCATGTCTACAACAGTACTAAATTAATAAAATCTTTCTAAAAGGACATTTAATTGGTTTTAATTCTGTGTGACAGGCCAGCTTGTTACTGAACTGACACACACAAGCATTCAAAATTGTGAGGAAGCTGATGCATTTTTGAGCTAGTTAACAAGAACTATAAAGAATTTTAACTCACGTTACTATACAACTTGGAATTTTTTTTTAAAACTACTTACCCCAAGTTCATCTAAGAACATGATCATGCGATGTTTGTTACTCTTGATGAATGGATTTACCCCCTCCATATATGGCTCCTAGTAATTTTTAAAAGTATTTATTAGAACAAATTGATACCAATTTAATAGACATACCTGAAGTGAACATATTGTAATCAGAGACAAATGACACTGCAAAACAAATGTGTAATCTTTTTCAAGTGAATTTATAATGACTTATGTGCAACTAGTCAAAAGATTACACTTTTCTGTGTTCCAGAGGGACTCTGAAATTATTTATATATGCATTGCGACATGAAATTTTACATTTCTGAAATACTGAAAATGGACTTTTTTCCATTGCAACTATATAATAAACAAAAAACTTTCAGAGGTAACATCAGGACATAATTGATCTCCTTGTTTTTTCATTAATGCTTACATTCCAAGTTGTGTCAGACAAGTGACTTTATAATGGCAGCCTGAAATCACTTTCTTTCATTATGCTTAAGTCAACAGATTTTTATTGTTCAACCATGTTGTGATTTGGGAACCAGAACAGACCAGTTGTTGCTGGCATTCTTTTAGTGATGCAATAGAAACTTTAGTAAAACCTGAGTTTTTTTAGGGCAACTTGTAAAACTGATTTACAAAATTATGTCAAGCAGTATGCAAATGAGTACAAATAAAAGGGATGTTTCAAAATGCTGTACCAACAGAAAACACTGGTCTAAACAATAAGAAAAGAAAAAGTGTGTGTGTGTGTGTGTGTGTAAGGGGGGAGCCAGAGGTTGGTAGTTGCTCATTTGTTTCAGAATTAAAATATTCTATATCCAGGCTAGAAGTTTAGTCCTAATTGGGCTCAAAGTGAATTATTACATACAGTATATAAAAGAACATGGATGTGGAATGTATTTCAAGGTTCTGTACAGAAACATGCCAATATTACTGAAAGATGTCTCCCCATTTTGACATGAAATAATCAATGGAAATGCAAAAAGACTCCCATCATCTACTTCAGGCAAATGATATATCCTTCTTGAACAGATTGTTTCTAATCACAGATTTCTACTCTATCATTTTTCAGTTGTCTTTATGAATATGGATATTCATAAGGGAAATGTACTCATTTTACCATCACATAGATGTTTTCTTTGTGGAGGGATGGCTGCCTGCCTCTCCTCTCCCACTTTTCCAACTCCAACACTCATCTATTTGACATAGGGAAGCCAGTAGATGTGGTGGTTTTGGATTTTAGCAAAGCTTTTGATACTGTCTGTCACAGTATCCTTCTGGATAAAATGTCCAGCACATAACTAGAAAAGTTCATAATACATTGGGCAAGCAATTGGCTGATGGGTCAGGCTAAAAGTGTAAATGGGGTTATAGTAAAATCAGGTTGGCAGCCAGTCATCAGGGAGGTTCCCCAGGGCTTGATTTTAGGCCAGTGCTCTTTAATGTTTTTATAAATGATCTGGATACAGGAATCGAATGTACATTAAGTTTGCTGATGATAAAGTAGGAGGAGCTGTGGACTCCAATGGTAGAGAGGCCTTACAGAGTGATCTGGGTAGACTAGAGAGCTGGGCAATCACCAACCACATGAAATTTAACAAGGGCAAGTGCAGGATTCTCCACCCGGCACATGACAATCCTGGCTATACATACAAGAAGTCCCACAGAAAGAGATCTAGGGGTCCCAGTTGATGACAAGTTGAATATGAGTCAGCAGTGTGCCCTGGTAGCCAAAAGGGCAAGCCGTGTCCTGGGATGCATCAGACACAGCATAGCTAGTCAGTCAAGGGAGGCAATTGTCCCACTCTACACTGCACCGGTGTGGTCCCACCTCAAGTACTGTGTGCAGTTTTGAGTGCCTCAATATAAAAAGGACATCAAACTATTCAAGTGTGTCCAGAGGAGAGTGACCAAGATAGCAAAAGACCTCGAGGGCAAGGGTGGCTGAGGTCACTTGGTTTGTTCAGCTTAGAAAAGGCTGAGGGGTGACCTCATCATGGTCTACAACTTCCTCAAGGGGTGCAGCAAAGAGGGAGATGCTGATTTCTTCTCTGGTGACCAGTGATAGGACATGGGAAAATGGAATGAAGCTGCTTCAGGGGTTGTTCAGACTGGACATTAGGAAAAGATTCTTCACTGAGAGGGTGGTTGGTCACTGGAACAGCCTCCCCAAGGAAGTGGTCGCAGCACCAAGCCTATCAGAGTTCACGAAACATTTGGGTGATGGTCTTAGTCATATGAGTTAGTTTTAGGTAGTCCTGCGAGGAGCAGGGAGTTGGACTCAGTGATCCTTATGGGTCTCTTCCAACTTGAGATATTCTATGATTCCATGAATAATAGAGTATGACTGCTACCCTTTTCATCATTGACAGACTGAAAAAACAGTCCACATACTTCCACTGTTGTCTTTGAAACAAATGTCTATCCGTTCTCATAGCATGAAAATATGGTTGCATCACTCTGTAATACCTACTAGTATGGTCATTAATTCATTAATTATTTTAACACATCACTGTTGTTGTTCATACTACCAGATTCAAAATCTTTATGGTATGTACTAAATCATTCACATAAGTTTCTAGATGACTCATTCTGAAATGACTGACTCCTCTTTCCAATTCAACCCCACTTTATGCTACTGCTCTAGTTTAAATCAATACCCTGTTGAGCTCCAATTGAAGAGGATAGAAGAAACTGCAGGAACAAGGCCTCCTTGTTGATAAGACACCCAGGTCACACATCAGGATTTGCATAAGAATAATACAGACAAAATCTGTTGCTGTTAACAGGAACACTGAAATGTCCTAGACTGTTCTGTGGAAAATTATATTCACCTTAGCTCCAAATTCAACCAGATTTGCTAAATTCTGCACAGACTTGGCAACCAGGGTCAGAGTTCTTGCAGCAGTAGGGGAAGGAGAATCTGATAGGAATAGAAAGTAGAAAGTTACTGACCATTTCATTTAAAATTTCCAGTAGTTATTTATCATGGAATTAAATACTCTGCTGTAAGAGAACTGTATGTGAAAAATATCTCATGAGCAAAAAAACTTTTGGTGTTTTAGTAATTATGTCCACAATAAACATAAATATGCATATCTGACTCTGTACTAGTTGCTTATAAAGTAAGCAAAATAAAGTGTTCCTCAGAAGCCTAAGGTTAACAAAATTTTTAAGAATTAAGTAAAAAGTCTTTACACAAAAATCAAACAGCTCTGTTGAAAGGAAAATTTGCTGTAAGAATCTAATAAAATAATTAAGTTTACCCTTTTCCTTATTTGCATATACCCATATAAGTAGGTCCTGCATTGTTATGCAAATTATACTTCAAATTAAGAGTACCAAGAAAATAGACTAAGCATATTACATGCAATCATGGCTTGTATTTCTGTGAAAGTATAGCTATTTACTGCACAAATCAAATGCTAGAAACTCTCGGTACAATCACCTGTTGAAAAAAGTTGTTTTTAAGAGATTTAAGAGATTAGTGTTAAGCATGGAGTTCTTTGGTTTGTTTTTAAACAGTTATGGTAAAATCTGGCTTTCTACTTACAGGCCATTTAAGTGTTCCAAAATGGACAGGATTTTTATATAAACTCTAAATTTCACAGTGTTTCATAAGAATGCTATATACTCTTCACTGTCTATCTGTAGGTTTTGATCTTCTTTCTTTCTGCCCCTTCCCTGCTCAGCATTGCAATTAATTAAAAACATAAGTTCTGACTTTTTAGGCATAGATGAAGCTTAGACTGAGGCACTAATCATAAAACTGATCTCAGTTGTTCAGAGCATTTAGTACTTAGTACTGTACATCCTTTTGAAGAAGCAATACTGAAAAACATTACTAGCCTTAGAATTGGGAAGTTCAGGTGGTAAGAACTAATCTGAAGAATTGTATTATAATAAAAAACTCAACTAAGAAATTTGAAACAAAGGACGATTTTTTTTCAGTAAAGATTTTTGAGAATAGTTGTTGAGGTGACATGATAGGCACATTGCTGCTGAAACTGAACTGTACGTATACACCTAGTCTTCAGAATATTTCCCCTCCCACTTCCTGCCCCATTACAGCAAGGAAGTATGTTAGAAACTTTGTTTCTAAAGAAAAAGAGCCCCCTTATTTTTTTTGTTGTTTGTTTTTTTTTTAATTAACAGCACTGACAACCCCATATAGAGTCCATAAACTTAGGGAAAGTGAATAATATTATCTGAACTTATAAACAGGACAAACACAGACAAGCTTAAAAGGGATGACACAAATTTATGGATAACAACTCAATTTACAGCTAAAGACATGGTGGTCTCAATGCAGTCCCCAAGTTAGAAAATAAGATAATCTGGTTTAAAGACAAATATTGGGAGGTGGGAACGCCAATAGGATGAACTCCCCTCCCCTTTTATAGAGGGACAAAATAAAAATGCAAGTGAAATAAATGAAAAAAAACCCCAGTTTACTAAAAGGAAATAACAGTAACTAGAAAGATACAGAGGAAACAGTTTCCCCAAAAGGAGAGTAATCCAACACCCACATGGTTCCCCAGGAACAAAGGGGAAACACAATGACAAAGGTTTTTTTCCCCACCAACCACCTCCTTGAGGTCTTAACTGCAGCAGTGGTACCAGTTTGAAGTCTCCTTGTTCCCTGGCTTTGGAGCAGTGGGGGGGGGGGTGCAGCCATCTCCCGCTTGGCAAGCAGCGAGCAAAGCAGAGAGGCTCCTGGCTGGCTCAGTCATACCTCAGAGCTGTCCGCTTCAGCACCGCAACTCTGTACTAGTGTTCCGGAGGAGAAATGGGAGGAGGAGAATTGGCAGGAAGCAGAAGGGACCAAGTTTTGCCACAGTTTCTTTGGGGACCATCCACATGGCTTTGGCGACCGAAGCAAGATGGCACACTTCCAGGCCAGGCAGGGACAGCTTTCGGCCATGGTTGAGACCCCAGAAACAACTTTTACCTGTGGCAACACCCCCCCCCCCCAACTCCCTCTTCTGGGAGGGCAGGGTGGCCCCCTTCAAATGACGTAATGGTATGAATATTCATTGTTATAATTCTCTTCCCTGGCTTGTAACCATAACATTATCTACCCCTTATTCTATACCATTCACGTCATGCCCGGATTTACACCTTTCAACTATATACATACATATATACACACATTCCCATTATATACATATATATATACACATATATATAAACATTTACGTATAATGTTACAGACAGTTTTACCCAAAAATCAGATCCCCTTGAGGTATACACCATGTTTCCCCATCTTTCTGCATTACCCACCAAAGTGCAACCTGATCCTTGAGTAAAAATTCCACAGATGGGTTTGCCTTTGCTTGAGGCAGGACTAATCCAACTGTTTTCCCTAACATACCTCTCAGGTGCACTATGGGGACTTCATCTACAGTGTGAAGGTGCTCTGATTGGGCAGGGCCAGCTCGACTGACAGAGTCTCTAGTGTTGACTAACCAGGTGGCCTTCTCTAAGTGCTGATCCAAATGTTTGAAGGTCCCCTCCACCCAATACCTTCAAAGTGGTTTTCAACAGTCCATTACACTGTTCAATCTTCCCAGTGGCTAGTGCATGATAGGGAATAGGATATACCTTCTCAATACAATGGTCTTTAGCCCAGGTGGTAACTAGGTTATTCTTGAAATGAGTCCCATTGTCTGACTCAATTCGCTCTGGGGTTTCACGTTGCCACAAGACTTGCTTTTCAAGGCCCAGTAAAAGGGTCAAATGCACACAGGTACCCCCAAAATACCAGGCAGGTGAGAACACTCAATGTATCGGCACAAAGCAGCATCAGGCCTAAGGAAAGACACACCCCCTGTTCTTCTCAGGGCTTTTGTAATCCCTGGTCCCCCCTGTTGTGGGGCTTTCAGATATGACTGCAAGAATTTATTTTCTCTCATACCTGGGAGTCAGCTCTTCTGGAATGCAAGAGGAGAAAACATCTAAAACTGTCTCTGGAAAAGATGCCTTTTTCCAAGCAGGAAAGCTTCCATTAGCAAAAAACCCTAATCTCCTTGTAGTCAAATCTTCTGGAAGGGTCTTCTACACTTACACCAGGATGGCATTCTGGGCAGTTGGCATGAGGCACAGAGTGTGTCTCCAGCCATCCAGTGGTTGCTTCCACTATGGTAAGCACATAGCATTTACCTTGGCAGTGTGATGTAATCAATCTGCCAGGCCTCTCTATATCTGCATTTCAACGACCGTCCACCATACCACAGAGGCTTTATCCACTTGGCCTGTTTGATTGCAGTGCATGTTTCACAGTTTTGGATGATCTGTGTCCATAGTTAAATCCACTCCTTGGTCTTGTGTTCATCTGTAGGTGGCATATCTTCCCTGATGACCAGAGGCATCATGGGCTCATTGAGGTAGGAACACCTCTCCCTTGTGGTGCCAGTCTAGATCTACCAGCAACACTTTGACTTGGGCAGCTCGATCTGCCTGTTTGTTGTTATGATGTTCTTTTGTTAGCTCAACTCTTAGGCACACGTACGTCTACATGGCAGACTCTCACAATCAGATGCAGTGATGTCTTGACACATTTCAGAAGCCCAGATGGGTTTCCCTTTGAGTTGCCAATTGGCCTTCTTCCATCTGTCTAGCCATCCCCACAGAGCATTGGCTACCATCCATGAGTCAGTGTAGAGGTCAAGTCTTGGCCACTTCTCTCATTCAGCAATGTCCAAGGCCAGTTGGGTGGCTCTGAGATCTGCAAATTGACTTGATCCACCTTGTCCTTCAATGGCTTATGCAACTTGTCGTGTGGGGCTCCATACAGCTGCTTTCCATTTTAGGTTCATCCCTACAATGTGACAGGAACCCTCAATGAAAAGAGCATAGTGTGTTTCTTCTTTGGTAGTTGATTGTATAGTGGAGCTTCCTCAGCAGGTGCCAACTGCTCTTCTTCCTCTTCATCTGCTAGACCAAAGTTCTCACCTTCAGGCCAGTTCTTGATTATCTCTAAAATCCCAGGGCAATTAGGGTCTCCTATACAGGTTCTCTGTGTGATCAGGGCAATCCACTTGCTCCATGTAACATCAGTGGCATGATACATGAAGGGAAATTTTCCTTTGAACATCCACCCCAGCACTGGTAGTCAGGGTGCCAGTAGAAGCTGTGTTTTCATGCCAATCACTTCTGAGGCAGCTTGAACCCCTTCCTCTGCTGCTAGAATCTCCCTCTCTGTTGGGGTGTAGTTGGTCTCAGACCCTCTATAGCCTCAGCTCCAAAATCCAAGTGGTTGACCTCAAGTCTCACCAAGTACCTTCTACCAGAGGCTCCAGGAAGGACCATTCTCCCCGGCTGTGAAGTAGAGCACATTCTTCACCTCCTGTCCTGTTCTGACTGGCCCAAGGGTTACCATGTGAACAATCTCCTATTTAATCTGTTCGAAGGCTTGTTGTTGTTCGGGGCCCCAGTGGAAATAATTCTTCTTACGTGTTTGTAGTGGGTTTCTGTGGCTGGGTTTTGGTGGTGGAGGGGGGCCACAGGAGTGGCTTCTGTTAGAAGCTGCTAGAAGCTTCCCCTATCCTGTGGAGCCAATGCCAACCAGCTCCGGGATGGACTTCCTGCTGCTGGCCAAGGCCAAACCAATTAAGAGTAATAGTGACGCCTCTGTGATAACATATTTAAGAACAGAAGGTTGTTGCGCAGAAGGATTCCAGCCAGGGAACAGTGGAGTGAGAATATGGGAACAAGAACAGACACCAAGGTCGGTGCAGAAGGAGTGGAAGGAGTGCTCCAGGCACCAGAACTGAGGCCCCTGCAGCCCGTGGTGAAGACCACAGTGAAGCAGGCTGTCCCCCTGCAGCCCATGGAGGACTATCGGGTTGCAGAGACCCACCTGCAGCCCATGGAGGAGCCCATGCTAGAACAGGTGGATGCATGAAGGAGGCTGTGACCCCG